CCAGTCACTCAGCCGTGTCCGACTCCTTGCAACCCTATGGACTGCAGCAGGACACGTCTCTCTGTCCCTCACCAACTCCCAGAGTTTACTCAAACTCATGTCCATTGAGTCAATGACGCCATCCAACCATCTCATCCTCTGTCATCATTTTTTCCTCATGACTTCAATCTTTCCCAGCATCAGGGTCTTTTCCAATGAGTCAGTTCTTCACATCAGGTGGCCAAAGTATTGGAATTTCAGCTTCAGCATCAGTCAGTCCTTCCAATGAATATTCTACTGATTTCCTTTAGGATGGACTGATTGGATCTTGCAGTCCCAGGGACTTAAGAGTCTCCTCCAACACCACAGTTCAAAAGCACCAATTCTTTGGCACTCAGCTTTCTTTATACTCCAACTCTCAGATCCATACATGACCACAGGAAAAACCATAGCTTTGACTAGATGGACCTTTGTTGGCAAAGTGATGTCTGCTTTTTAAGTTGCCATCTAGGTTGATCATAACTTTTCTTCCAGGGAACAAGTGTCTTTTAATTTCATGGCTCCAGTCACCACCTGCAGTGATTTTGGAGCTCAAAAAAATAAAGTCTCTCACTGTTCCCACAGTTTCTGCATCTGTTTGCCATGGAGTGATGAAACAAGATGCCATGATCTTAGTTTTCTGAATATTGAGTTTTAAGCCAACTTTTTTGCTCTTCTCTTTCACATACATCAAGAGGCTCCATAGTTCTTCATTTTCTGCCATAAGGGTGGTATCATCTGCTTTATCTGAGGTTATTGATATTTCTCCCAGCAATCTTGATTCCAGCTTGTCCTTCATCCAGCCCAGAGTTTCTCATGATGTACTCTGCATATAAGTTAAATAAGCAGGTTGACAATATACAGCCTTGACATACTCCTTTCCCTTTTGGGGAAACAACCAGTCTGTTGTTCCATGTCCAGCTCTAACTGTTGCTTCCTGACCTGCATACATGTTTCTCAGGAGGCAGGTGAGGTGGGTCTGGTATTCCCATCTCTTGAAGAATTTTCACAGTTTGTTCAGATCCACACAGTCAAAGGCTTTGGCATAGTCAATAAAGTAGAAATAGATGTTTTTCTGGAATTCTCTTGATTTTTTGATGATCCAGCAGTTGTTAGCAATTTGATCTTAGGTTCCTCTGCCATTTCTAAATCCAGCTGGAATATCTGTAAGTTCACAATTCATGTACTATTGAAGCCTGGCTTTGAGAATTTTGAGCATTACTTTTCTAGTGTGTGAGATGAATGCAATTGTGCAGTAGTTTGAGCATTCTTTGGCATTTCCTTTCTTTGGGATTGGAATGAAAACTGACCTTTTCCATTCCTGTGGAAACTGCTCAGTTTTCCAAATTTGATGACATATTGAGTGCAGCACTTTCACAGCATCATCTTTTAGAATTTGAAATATGACTTCAAAATCTGACATCCAGGAAATCTGACTTCAAAATTCATGCTGTTGACTGTTAAATCACACATGAGAAGAGAACAGATAATTCAAATTTATAAATTTTTTATTAATAAAACTGGATAAAATGAGAGAAGCTATTCAAAAATAACAGTGAAGGATCAGTTTTATTGATTATCACTGTTGTAAAAATGAAATTGATTAAATATTTTAATGAATGTGTGAGGAATAATTTGTTTGAATGGATGCTGTGAGCTCAGTGTCATGTGATGGGCTACAAGACACAGATGAAGCAGGAGATACAGTAGACGGCATAAAACCTGCCAAACAAGACGAGAAGTTGAGTTAGAGATTATGGCAAATGGGATATTTTTAAGTACCAACATTACAGAGGTCAAAACTCAGCAGATCAAAGGTTAACATAATTTTGCCAAGAGAATGCACTGGTCATAGCAGACACCCCCTTCCAACAACACAAGAGACTCTACATGTGGACATCCCCAGATGGTCAATACCGAAATCAGATTGATTATATTATTTTCAGCCAAAGATAGAGAAGCTTTATACAGTCAGCAAAAACAAGACCGGGAGTTGACTGTGGCTCAGATCATGAACTCCTTATTGCCAAATTGAGACGTAAAGTGAAGAAAGTAGGGAAAAACACTAGACCATTCAGCTATGACCTAAATCAAATCCCTTACGATTATATAGTGGAAGTGGCAAATAGATTCAAGGGATAAGATCTGATAGACAGAGTGCCTGAAGAACTATGGACGGAGGTTTCTGACATTGTACAGGAGTCAGTGATCAAGACCATCCCCAAGAAAAAGAAATGCAAAAAAGGCAAAATTGTTGTCTGAGGAGACCTTACAAATATCTGAGAAAAGAAAAGAAGCTAAAGGTAAAGGAAAAAAGGAGAGACATACCCATTTGAATGCAGAGTTCTAAAGAATAGCAAGAAGAGATAAGAAAGCCTTCCTCAGTAATCAGTGCAAAGACATAGAGGAAAACAATAGAATGGGAAAGACTAGAGATCTCTTCAAGAAAATTAGATATACCAAGGGAATATTTCATGCAAAGATGGGCACAATAAAGGAAAGAAATGGTATGGACCTAACATAAGCAGAAGATATTAAGAAGAGGTGGCAAGAATACACAGAGAACTATACAAAAAAGATCTTCATGACCCAGATAATCACGATGGTATGATCACTCATCTAGAGCTAGACATCCTGGAATGCAAAGTCAAGTGGGCCTTAAGAAGCATCACTATGAACAAAGCTAGTGGAGGTGATGGAATTCCAGTTGAGCTATTTCAAATCCTAGAAGATGATGCTGTGAAAGTGCTGCACTCAATATGCCAGCAAATTTGGAGAACTCAGCAGTGGCCACAGGTCTGGAAAAGATCAGTTTTCACTCCAATCCCAAAGAAAGTCAATGCCAAAGAATGTTCAAAGTACTGCACAATTGTGCTCATCTCACATGCTGGCAAAATAATGCTCAAAATTTTCTAATCCAGGCTTCAACAGGACATGAACTGTGAACTTCCAGATGTTCAAGCTGGATTTAGAAAAGGTAGAGGAACCAGAGATCATATTGCCAACATCTGCTGGATCATTGAAAAACAAGAGTGTTTCAGAAAAACATCTACTTCTGCCTTATTGACTATGCCAAAGGCTTTGACTGTGTGGGTCACAAGAAACTGTGAAAAATTCTTCAAGACATGGGAATACCGGACCACCTGACCTGCCTCCTGAGAAAACTATATGCAGTTCAGGAAGCAGCAGTTAGAACTGGACATGGAACAACAGACTGGTTCCAAATAGGGACAGAAGTACGTCAAGGCAAAAAGAGCCAGACATTCCTGGATTGTCACCCTGCTTATTTAACTTATATGCAGAATACATCATGAGAAATGCTGGTCTGGATGAAACAGAAGCTAGAATCAAGATTGCTGGGGAAATATCAATAACCTCATATATGCTGATGACACCATCCTTATGGTAGTAACAAAGAAGAACTAAAGAGCCTCTTGATGAAAGTGAAAGAGAAGAATAAAAAATTTGGCTTAAAACTCAGTATTCAGAAAACTAAGATCATGTTTCATTGCATCATGGCAAATAGATGCAGAAACTGTGGGAACAGAGAGAGACTATTTTGGGGGGCTCCAAAGTGACTGCAGATGGTCACTACAACCATGAAATTAAAAGCCACTTGCTCCTTGGAAGAAAAGTTATGACCAACCTAGACAGCATATAAAAAAAGCAGAGACATTACTTTTCCAACAAAGGTCTGTCTATTCAAAGCTATGCTTTTTCTCGCAGTTGTGTATGGATGTGAGAGTTGGAATATAAAGGAAACTGAGTGCTGAAGAATTGATGATTTTGAACTGTAGTGTTGGAGGAGACTCTTAAGTCTCTTGGACTGCAAAGAGATCCTAAAAGAAATCAGTCCTGAATATTCATTGGAAGGACTGATGCTGAAGCTGAAACTCCAATACTTAGGCCACCTGATGCCAAGAACTGATTCATTTGAAAAGACCCTGATGCTGGGAAGGATTGAAGTCATGAGGAAAAGGTGATGACAGAAGATGAAACAGTTACATGGCATCACTGACTCAATGGACATGACTTTGAGTAAGCTCTGGAAGTGGTGATGGACAGGTAAGCCTGGCGCGCTGCAGTCCACGAGGTCCTAAAGAGTTGGACATGACTGAGCAACTGAACTGATTACATAGGTGAAAATTGGAGCAATTTACAAACTGTGATAATTTGTCCAAATATATATGATTATAAGACCTAAACTCTAAGTTAGAAATAGTTTAAAGGTGACTCAGAATGTTATATTCATTTGTAAAATCCTAAATAATGTGAAGGCTGATAAAGTCAACTGAGAAAAGAATGGTAAACAAGAAAGAGAGACGTCTGACCTACATTGCCATCTGTTGGAAAAGTGAACATCTGTTATGTTGAATGAAAGATGAAGCTTGGAAATTCCCAGTGAATCACAATAGCTAGAACTACTGTTTAAGAGCAAAAACAGCATTCAAGACTAATTTAGATTTTTTATCTTGGAAAAAGATATTTAAAGGAGAAAATGCAAAACTCCAATAGTTGAAAACCATGGCTTTGAAGATTTCCAGTGTAATTGTAGCTCAAATTAGAATGGAATTGTGCTGGAGAAAGAGTATTATCAAAACTTGTTTCTGGAGTAGATTCTAAGCTCTCTGGAAGTATCTTGTATTTTGACTAATGGATCCATGCATGTTCAGTATATGCTGGCAAAAATCCTAGCCTGAAGTTTAGTATCAATGCAAACATGTCATTTTGAGTACCAATTTGACTTTTTGGATCAGAGTTTCCTTTTCAATAGATTGGATGGGATTGAATTCAGTGATACTTAAGGTTGCTTTCAACTGCACTCCTATTAATGCTGTGCATCTATTAAAGAATAGCCTGTTAATAATCTCATGCTTGAGAAAATATTTATTTTATGGATGAAAATCATGTTTTTATGACATCCTCTTTTTATTATTTTACATCTTCAAAGATCTTACATGAATTTCTTTTCTCTCTTTTAGGGTGGAGTCAGCGGATTAACTGGAGAACTAGAATTTGGAGAAAATGGAGGCAATCCCAATGTCCATTTTGAAATTCTTGGAACCAACTATGGAGAAGAGCTTGGCCGAGGTGTTCGCAAAGTAAGACCAGACACATTGATAAATCTGCTCTTTCCTATAGTAATGTGGTTTTGTTGACTTGTTTTCCATGCATTATAGTCACAGTATACATTAAAGTCTATATAATAGTTTGAGAGAAATGAAGAGGTGAAAGGTTAGAGGACCTTGCATACTCACTAGAAGTATTAAGCAATAGTTTTTTTCTATGCCTTAAAATAAAGGGAAAGAATAAACCTATTGTTGCCTAGGGAACTAGCATAATCTTCTATTCACTATAATAATTTTATACAGTAGTGAATTTAGTATTTACACAACGCCTAGCTGCTTGGTTTTTTGTTTGTAAGATACAGAAAATCAGAATAAGAGCTTTGATAAATTTCATATAATAAAAGGGAAAGTCTATAAAAGTGACATTACAGTATCTCACTGTCTATGTCATGTAATAAGTAGAAAGAAAATGGTTTGCAGGAAATGAACTCTTTTATATACTTTAGATCACATGTAAGAAGTTGAGTGCCTATAAAGGATCTTTCATGAACTGCTGGGACACTAACTTTCTCAACAAGAGATGTAAAAACCCCTGGAGAAATGACTTTTCTATAGTTTCGATATGCCATTTTTAGATATTTTTGGTATGGAAAAACTTAAGGTAATTGAATGTGCAACCTAAGTTCATAGCTATAGAGCTCTAACTGCATTGACAGTAAGTTCTTCCGTAGGTGTTTCTTTCCAGTGCTGAGGTATAGGATGCAGAAAATTTAGACAAATTGAAATTTAGAGTTATTCTAATTAGCAATAAAAAACCTTTTGGTAAATTTATGCTGGAGAAGTTGAAACTATCTTAATGTGTTTTTATTTGATTAATAATGAAGCATAGCAAACATATAGTAATAGAAAACTTCATAAAGCCCAAGGATAATTTATTTAATTATTGTAAAAGAAACAACCACTACTATGGTGAAGAAATAGAACATATCAAGCATCCTAAAAGCTTCATTATATTATTTCTTGTTCATATCCCTGACATCTTTTCTCAGTGGTATCACCATTAATCTGAATTTTATATTCATTTCTTTGCATCTTGAATATAATTTATCATCTAAGGGTACATCCTTAAATATTCATTTTTCCAGTATTCAATTTATAAATGAACCCATTTTGCATATATTCCTTTTTCTTTTTGTATTCTTCATTTTGTGTTATTTATTCTTGTTGTTACATATTGTTTATTCATTTATATTGCTGTATCATTTTCTATTGTATACATGTGTCATGATCTACAGTAGCCTGTTTCTATTGTATATATGTATCACAATCTACTGTTTCCACTTTTAGGCTATCATAAGTAATGATGTTTGGAAGATTCTTAGACAAGCATCTTGGATATATAACATTGTACTAGTGTGTGTGTTTCTATAGGATTTGTATCCAGAAGTAGAATTGTTGCAACACAAGGAAACATAATCTCAAACCTTCTAGCCTAAATATTTACCAATTCACACACCTCCAGTAGTGCTTCCAATTCACATTGCACCAAATGTTGGTTTTGTTAGATTTTAAATTTTTATTAGGTTATTCAATGTATAATGATATATCTTTTTGTTTCAACTTGAATTTCCCTGATTATAAAAAGATTCTGCCTCTTTCCCTGCATTCTTTTGCTTTTCATGTTTTGTTTTGTTTTGTTTTGCTTAGTTAAATGCCTACTCCCGTCCTTTGGCCATTTTCTATTGGGTTATCTTTGCTTATATAATTGAGTCTAAGAGCTGTATGCATATTTTGAATATTAATCTTCTGTTATTTATATTTCAAATCATCTCCTCTCCTTTCATTTAATTGTCATTAGATACAGTACCTTTAAATTTAGTAGAATTATGAATTTTCTCTCTTGTGATTATTGCTGTTTAGTCTTACTCAAGAAATCATTCCATACTACCAGAGTCGTAAAAATATTATACTCAGTTATACTCTGAAGGATTTACAATTCTATCTTTTAAATTGAAGTGTTTTGTCTACCTGGAATTTTTTGTAGCTTTTTAAAAAGTGTTTATTTTTAAAATTATTTTCTTATTCTTACTGTTATTTTAATTTTTTGTTTTTTTGGTTGTGCTGCAGGGCATGTGGGATCTTAGTGCCTCAGTCAGTTCAATTCAATCTCTCAATCGTGTCTGACTCTTTGTGATCCCATGGACCGCAACATGCCAGGTTCCCCTATCCTTCGCCATCTCCCGGGGCTTGCTCAAACTCATGTCCACTGAGTCGGTCATGCCATCCAACCATTTTATCCTCTGTCATCCCCTTCTCCTCCTGCCTTCAATCTTTACCAACATCAGGGTCTTTTCTAATGAGTTAGCTCTTTGCATCAGGTGGCCAAAATGTTGAAGCTTCAGCTTCAGTGTCAATCCTTCCAATGGACATTCAGGACTGACTTCCTTAAGGACTGACCACCTAGGTTTCAAATCTGTGCCCCTTGCATTGGAAGCACAGAGTCTTCACCAATAGATCTCCAGGGGATTCCCTGCAAATTTTTTTTAATACATGGGAAAAGAGAAAAAGTACAAATTTATTTTTTAATATAGTATCTTGTTTATTTTTTATTGAAATTTAACTTAAATACAATAAATGCACAAATGTTAAGTCTACAAGGCTGTCAGTGATTGAATTCACCAATGTGATCACTACTCTCAAGTTATATAGGATTTCATTATCCTAAAAGTTCCATTATTCTTCTCTACACAGATAGTTTACCTGGTTTTAGTGGTCATATAAATGGATATTGTAGTAATATGTATCTTATTTCTTTCAACATATTTTAGGTACATTCTTATTTGCATGTTGGTAATTTTTTTATTTTTTCACTTATATGGCTGAGTGGTATTACACTGTATGAAAGTAATATAGTATTTTCTAAAACCCTATTTTCTGTTGGTTGCTGATATATGGGAATGGCACTGATATTTTATATTGATTTTATATTCAACATTCTTGCTCCACTCTTTAATTCTGATAATTTATCTGTAAATTCTGACTTCTTTGCATATCATCTGTGAATAATGATTTTGTCTCTTCCTTTCTAATTTTAATATATTTTATCTCTATTTGCCTAGTATACTGACTAGGTCCTTTAGGACAATGTTGAATGAAAGTATTAAATAACAGTAATAAACATCCTTGATTATTATCAATATCAGAGAAAAAGATGCAAACTTTATACTACTAAATATAAAGTTTCTCTTTTTTCTTTCATTAACTTTGGTAGATATAGGCAACTTCATGTATTCCTGGGATAAACCTGATTTTTATATTTTTACAAAATTATAATTTCATTGTTTCCATATTTATATATATTTTTTTATTTACTACCACTTGCTTAAGGTTTTTACATTGATGTTCTTGACTAAGGTTACCTGAAATTTTCTCTGTTGTAATCGGATACTAAGGTTAAGTTAGCCTCATGAAATGTAGTGGAGAGGATTTCTTCTTTTTATATTCTCTATTAGTTATATAAAACTGGAAGACTTTTCTCCTTACATGTTTGATAGATGGTCTTATGAAGCCAATGTAGACTAGAATTTTCCTTGTGGGAATTTTTAAGTTATTGATTCTATTTTTCCATAGTCAATAAAAAATAAAAGTCATATTTGCTAATTCTTTTTATAAACTTGAGAAGTTTATCTTCATGATATTTTAAAGTGTCTTTTTTCTTTTCTATATGTATTGATATAAAACTGCCTTTTAAATAATATCCTTTTAAATATCTGCAACATTTCAATATCTGAACTTATTTTTATTTCTAAATAGGTTTCTTTGTAAATAACATTCTTAAATTATTATTATAAACCTTCTACTTCTAATAATACTTTCTTCCTTAAAGTATTATTATTTTTATTATGTATTTTATTATATAGCATTATTATTTTTTTCTATGAATAGAGCAAAACAATTTCCCTTCCATTAGTATGTTTGGTAAACTTTCTTTTTACTACCCTTTACTTACAACTTTTCCTGTATTCCTTCATTCCACTTCTAACTCTTAAGAAACTACATAATTCATTATTTGATACCAATTAGACTGTTTATGCCTAAAAATGAGAGCATTACATGTATTTAAATGAAATATATTTGATAATACATTTAGAGTTAGGTCTGCTATCTAATACATTCTACCATTATGTTACATTCTATTTGTCTTCCCTAATCTAGGTTCCTTTTTTGTCCTTTCTTGCCTTCTTTTGGATTAATATATATTTTATTTTTCAATTCCCTCTTTTCTCCTGTACTAATTTGCAAGTTATATACTCCGCTTTTATTTAATAGTTCCTCTAGAATTTACAGCAGGCATACTTTATCAGCATCTAATGTTAATCAATGTCTTATCTTCCTCTCAGCAAACATAACATTTTAACTCCATTTACTCAATATACTCAATCTATCTCACATGATAGATTATTATTGTTCAAGTTTTTAATATTATCCTTTTTATTTTAAAAAGTCTTCCCATTACTATCATGTGCGATTAATATTTATTTTATATATACCCATATATGTTCTACTTTCCTTGCTTTTTTTCCTTCTTACATCTTTATCTAGAATTGCTTTTCTTTGGCCTGAAGTATATATTTTTTCAAATTTCCCATTTTGATGGTTTTTTTGTTGCCATATGTCTCAGTTTTTATTTCTGTGAACATATCTTTATTTCGTCTTCTTCCTTTAGACATATTTTCCCTAGACACAGAATTTCAAAGTGCTAGTTTTACTCTTTTACCATATTGATGATACATATCATTGCATGGGTTCTGGCTTCAGTGCTGTGGTTGAGAACTGCTGTCTCACTGCCAATCATCTTACCTTACTTCTCTGCCTGATTTAAGATTTGTCTTTGTTTTTAAACCTCTGCATTTTCGCTATTGTCTCAGTGTGAATCTCACTCTGATGTGCATGGGTGTAGCAGATTTATGATGGCAAAACCTCTGGTTATCAATGTGGGATTTATGGTGACCAAGGAATTACATAATGCTAAG